CCTTAACCCCATAGTTCTCCTTTAAGATGTGGGATGCCAGAATATTCCCTTCTATCTGATCTGTGCAAAAATTACCTGTTGATTTGGCCACAAATCTTGCGAGTTGATAACTACTGTGCTCTCTGTCTGTACACATAATGGTTATAAAGATGAGGAGATGGGAAGACATAACAAGAGGTCTGTGTTCACTGTAATCCATCAGAAAATAAGTAGGCAGGGCTGACACTACATGCTCAGAAATTCAGAGCTGTGTTGTCATGTCAAAGAGAAAGGTAGGAGCGTACTAAATTTCTGGCACATCATCAGTTATTTTCTGTATTTGCAGTGTATTTAGAAAGAGAAAACATAGGAAATATGCATGTATTCCAGAGATGTACTAAATACGTTTTTTTATTTTTTATTTTGCCTTGACATATAAATGTAATAGTTAGGGAAATGTGTGACTTATGTTTGATAATCTGGTTGAGCTCAAATACTATCTAGATTATATCTTTCTTCCCTAAAGGTAATATCACCTGCATTTTTTTTTTACAAAGGCTTTAGGTCTTTTTATCACATACACATATACAGTTTGTGTTAAAACAGACAGTCTGCAATCACACTACATAATGTGTTCACATGGGCAATAAGTTTAAAAGGCTAAAAGTAAATCTATGTGGCTCACATCCAATGTTAAAAAAAAGGCATTTAAAAATATAAAAAGGACATTTTTAAAAAGAAAATTAGGGTCGCAAAAATTCAAGTCAAATTACAGGTTGCCAAAGAGTAACAGTAAAAATATCAGATCTGAGCATGTAGGCCCCTTACAAGATAACTCAGAGTTGGTGACTGTGGACAAGAAAAAGCCAAATCTCTTAAATACCTTCTTCAGCTCTGTGTATACAAAGGAAAAGAGTGGACCTTAAGTCCATAATGGGGATAATATTGCAAAAGCTTCAAATGAACCACAATGAAGAAAAAATAAAAAAAAACACAATGACTGAAAATTGATATGATCCAGTAACAGGAAAAATAAAGTTGAATCCATGTGTCCTCACACAGTTGAGCTCTGTTATTGTGAGCCCATGATTTCTAATTTTTAGAGACATTTAATGAATAGCTAGGTACCAATGGATTGGCACAAGGCCATTGTGGTGCCTATAATTAAAAAAGGATCAAAGTCTTTACCAAGTAACTACAGATGTGTAAGCTTAACTTCTATAGTCAGGAAGATACCTGAGAGTTTGATAAATTCCACATAGTAGAAATTGTGCTAGAAAACAATATTATAAGGGATAATCAGCACAGGTTAAAAGGCGTCAAACAAATCTAGTTCGTTTTTATGAGGAAGTAAGCAATAACCAAGACAATAACCTAGTACTGACCTAGTACTGACTGTGAATAAAATATACTAGGACTTTACAAAATTGTTTGACAATTTGTTCCTCACAAGTGGCTAATGTGTAAGTAAAGAGAAAATTGGCCTAAAGACCATATATATAGGGTAGTATTTAGTGATGCATATGCTGAATGGTCTATGGTGGATAAGGGTGTACCCCAAGGCTCAGTGTTGGGAAGGACAACTAAACAGATAAGATTCATTGAGGACCTCCGCTATGAGGAAAGATTAGCTGAACTGAATGTGTTCTCCCTTAAAAAGAGGTGATTAAGGGAGGATATGATCCCAATGTATAAATACACATATGGTCTACTATTTATAGTGAAATTGGTGCAAAATGATTCACTTTAAAGAAGAACTCTGGGCAGAATAAAACATAAACCTTGCATTGGGGCTACACTCACACTGCAAGGGATCAAGTGCTCATTTTGGTCTAGGGTCTTAAATTACAAAGATATACTCAGTCCTGCCTGGCTGCTAGACCAGTCTCTGCTGCCTCTCTTCCCCTCTGCTCCGGTGATGGAATTCCCCACAGGGTCCTCACATCTACTACAATGTACACTGACTCTTGGATCCTTAGATAGCCAGAGAGCAGGGGAGAGAGAGGCTGCGTGGACCGGTCTAGAAGCCAGGCGGTCCCGAGGATCGGCTGAGTATATCTTTGTTATTTTAGACCCTAGACCAAAAGGAGCACTTAACTCTTGCAGTGCGGGGGCACCTTTTTGAAATGTTTTTTTCTCCGCAAACAGAGCTATCTGTTATTACAGATTTTTCAAACAAGTATAAACTACAAACACAACACAAGTCAATCGCAAAACACTGCTGGCTTAATAAAACATGACGTAACAGTGCATGCATGTAGACAGTGGGTGTTACAGTCAAGTGTCAAACAATCAAGAGCTTAGGGAAGCGCACACTATAAGAACTTAGTAACAGAACAAGATGACACCAGTAGAAAAAACAGCCCGGAGGCCAGACAGTAGGAAACAGTATGAAGAAAACTGAAACTATAACAAGAAGGGAGGTGAAGCAGTGAAAAAGGGAAGTAGAAAGGGGAGACATCTACATTTTTATTGTAAATGATACTTTCTTTTGAATCCGGGGACTTAACACGTTTTCAGTGTTTGTAGGAGCATTAGACACTGGTAATCTAGTTCTAACAGCACTTGTAAAATCAATATTAGTGTGAGTCAATCTGCACTAGAAGGAGAAAGCGGTATGAAATCTGCCTTCATTGATGTTCCTTGGGGCTCGCTTTACTCTGGGAAATACTAGGTAAAAGCACTATCTTTAATTTTATAACCAGCGATAAATACTAAAACTAGGTTTCTGTATTAAAAATTGCATAGCACTTCAATACATGTAAAGCTCACATAACAAGGAACCAGACCAGACCAGAAAAATACTGCATGTCTCATTTTGTCTGGTCTGGAATGCACTGGAACTGCGGCAGGTTCACACTATTTTCCGGACCAGATTTGGTCCGGAAAATGATGTGATCCTGCCCTAACACATCTGATTGGCTCTTTGTGCTGCTTCCCCCTCCCCCTCTGAGCTTTGAGGGCAGGTTCACACCATTTTCCGGACCAGATCTAGTTCAGATCTGTTCCGGAAAATGGTGTGAACCTGCCTGCAGTTCCAGTGCATTCCAGACCAGGCAAAATGAGACATGCAGTATTTTTATGGTCTGGCCTGGTCTGGAACGTACTGCACTGGTGTGAACTGAGGCCAGAAATTGCATAGGGATACATTAGTATGCATTTTGGGTCCGAAAACAATCTGATCTTGTCTGGAGATGATCTGGATGTGGTGTGAATGGGCCCTAAAGGGAGCTGCGAGAGACTGAATTATTAGACAAACTGAGGTTATTACACTGCCTGCAATTAAAAACAGTACATTAAAGGATACAGTCATGATTATAGGCTGCCATGTTTTGTAATTTTATATCTGCCTGGAGTTCAGCTTTAAGAGTAAGGCCCAGTAAATGTTGACATGAATCTATATATTGGAGACCAGATGGGGTTAACAGATCACACTTCTTGTATCCAAATGTCTTCTACATTTAAAGAAGGTCTCTTTCAACACAACAGTCTAAAGATGGCCTTAAAGTGACACTAAACCCAGGTGTTAAATCTTAAAGGAGCATTCAAATACCCTAACTATTAATAAAAATGTATCTTATTTGTGTATAACTCAGCTGTAGATCTTCAAATCTCTGAATTTGTGCTCGCACTGTCCTTCCTTCTGGAGGGTGGCTACATTTAAACCCCATAGTCCCTGTGTGTGTTGTAAAGTAGCGACCGTTCCAAGTTTACTCCCATGATGGACTACAATCTCATGTTTAATTTACTAATTTGTATTGAGATTGTAGTCCATCGTGGGAGTGAGCATGGAGCGGTGGCTACTTTACAACACATAAAGGGACCATGGGGAACAAAAGTATTCACCCTCCAGAAGGAAGAACAGTGTCAGCACCAATTCAGAGATGATTTGAGGATCTACAGCAATCTACACACACATAAGCTACATTTTAGTTAACAGTTAAGGTACATGAATGCATGTTTAAGATTTAACTCCTGAGTTTAGTGTCATTTTATTATGTTCATACAGGTGGCCTCAAAAGAACTAGTGCATTCAGCTAAACTACATTCCACTGCAAATAATTCAGCTTATTTTGACCATCCAGTATATGTAAAACCAAAGGTTTTTTGATAGAAAAATGAATATTTCAAACCCTTTTTAGGTTTTTTTGTTGCTTTTGGAGCTCTCCAAAAAAAAGCAAATCCTGTGTTAAAGGAGAACTATGAGGTGAGTGCTTTTCACTCACCTCATAGTTCTAGCCGACCTGTGACAATGAGACTGTCACAGGTCGGCTCAGTAGATTGGGAGGTGAGTGAACACATACCGGCGTTTGCTCACCTTTCGATCCTGTCACGGCTCTCTGCCGTGACAGGGGAGGGGCTGGATTCCCCCCTCCCCGCTCCTATACAGCTGGCTCTGCCTCTAGGTAGGCAGAGCCAGCTGTAAGTCACACAGTTGGGCGGATCCCGGCACAATTGTCGGGATCCGCTTCAGCTGCGGCGTCTCAGTATAACGCGAGCAGCAGCTCGCGGTATACTGCGGCGTCTCAATATACCGCAAGCTACAGATCGCAGTATACTGAGCTTAGGGTGACGAGAGGACGCTAGTTTGTGTCCTCCCGTTACCCTGAGGAGAACTATGGGGAAAAGCCTTAACCCCATAGTTCTCCTAAAGAGTTGTCACTGCAATAATTGTCCCCATTGGAAGCGTTCCCCTCTATTTCTGTTCTGTCAACATTTCAAAATTACAAATATCATAGAATGTTTCTGACAGCGTCTGACCAGCTTGCCTTTGTGGTTCAGTTAAATAAAAAATTAAATTAATAAATACAATAAAACAAAGCAATTAAATCAATTCATTAAACCTACTAAAAATATAACCTGATTGGTGATTAGAATACCCAGCATTTTATAGAGATCGAGTGTAGAAGATCTTGTGTAATAATAAAAATATAACCTGTTTTCCTTGAAATATCTCATACCTGTTTAGCTGATAAATAACAGCGAAGATAATTCAATTCTTATAAATGAATTTCTATTACCTTTGAGAACAGAAATATGATGCCGGCCCTCCCCATCTGGATGATAGTTCCTAAACTCAATATCATCGGCATCTTTCAGCTCCACCTTGTCATAGCCATACCAGCCAAGAAGTTCATTCATGGTATTTTCAGCAAAGTTCTGAAAAAGAATAAAACATTGTTTTTGCTGTCAATAACATTGCAGGATCTCTAACATTAAATGTTCCATTTGCAGCATAAATTAACCTTATAACTATAACAGATTTTTTTTCCCATGTAGAAGAGTCCTATGGGCAGAGTAGAGTGGCAAAAACATGTCACACAACATTAACATGCATATACAGGCAATGCTGGCAAATGGGCTGATGGACTTTTGCAGTCCAGAGGTCTACAAGGGGTGGAGCCATGACTGCCTGTGAGCAGGCTTCCAGGTTGAGTGAGGCTGGAGGTCATACAACCCAGAAGTGGGCAGAAGCTTCTTGACATGCTAGACTTTTTGCAGGGAACAAGGAGGAAGTAATGTAACTATTGCAGTGAAAGGAATTTTTTTTACAGGTTTGGGGAATTTTAAACGTAATTAAATTCAGAAGCTAGAGTTAGGCCTTAAAAGAGACCAATACAGGTTTCTACCTAAGAATTGGTATAACATAACTGTTATCAAAACATGTCAAAATTGCAGCCACCAGGCTCATGGGATCTATACTTGTAAAATGTAATACATTAACACAAAAACCTCTCAAAATATGTTCTCTCTCTCTCTCTCGCACACATTTGCTACGAATTGGAAACCCTTTTGGCTGAGATCACGTTCATATAATCAAAGATGGCTGACAAGGTCACCCACTAGAAATCTGCAATGTCAGTGATTAAAAGACACTGCAGATTCCAATTGGGCCATGAGAGTGATTCTTGGATGCAATCCATATTGATTTCCCAGAGCAGAACAAAAACACTGGCCTAGAAAGAGAAATGTCTCGGCCAAGTGGTGGTCTCCAAAGTTTAAAAATAAATCAACGTAGTTCATCAGGACATGCACTTTTAAGTCATCAAAAAATAAATGCGCGTATTAAAAAAAAAAAAGTGGTTTCATCAGTATAACTTACTGAGCGCCACACAGAAAGAGGCTTTTCAGGGGCCTTTTCAAAATATTTGTTGCCGTTTTTAGAATTCAGCTTTTCTTATGTAATGCAATCTTTCATCACACAATATGCTTAACTCAGGCTTAATGTTTCATACACTCCTAGGAGAGCCATAAATATTGAACTACATATGTATTTAATTTACCAAGTAAATAATCCTAAAACATTATGTGAATTAATCCTATAGTTTGCAGCACGTTGCACTGTGCTTTAAACAGTGTAGCTTACTATTGCCGGTTATCTAGAAAACTCATGAGGGATGTGTCTAGACATAAACTCAACGCTTTCCCCTGATGCAAAGTTCAAAACCAATCACCGTGCTCTTTTTTACATTTCACAGCTAGTGCTGATAGAAATATGTATTTCTTTCTTAAATCCATCCTGAATAAGTCATTTACAAAGTGTCCTGCTCTGATGCATGCTGTAAAGTAGAATTGTAGGTGCACCATGAACATAATTGCAATTTATTGCAGCTTACCAAGCCTTAAATGTGGTAGCTGCATTAGTTTTCTTTTTTTCAAGATAATTACATATTCCCCAAGTACAGGAAAATACATGTTGACCTTTCCAGAAATCCAGTCAGCATGTAACTTCCTGTACAATAAACTGAAATCGCTAGCGTTGTTATCAGCCCTGCCAAGTACAGAACAGCTACCCCTATGCTATGGCAATAAGGAGAGAATCAGTCAAAGTCAGGAATGACTAGAGCAGGGTGACAACATTGATTCCCAAAAGACACAGTACAGTGAGTGAACCTTGTCACCCTAGGACAGGAAGTGTGTTATTGTCCAGCTCCCCAGGTGAAAATACGAGAAAGAAGTCTGAAAAAAATGAGAAATAATGCAGCCACCACATCTAAGAACTGATAATAAGCAATATATAAAAATTGTATTCTTGGATTTAGATACACTTTAAAACAAGCCTCCTTGAACTCTGTTGCAGTAGGCACTGTGGGGTGCTTTCAGTTTCATTTTAGCAGTGCAGTTCATATTGCTCCTTTTTCCCAACAGAGAGTTAGAAGCCCTCTAGCCTTCTAATCTCTAAAATAAACACAGAGCAGGTACACAGAAAGAGGGGAGAGAGCAGAGGTCTGAGACTGGACTTCAATGACTTCACGTGCAGTCAAGAATAAATTGCTCCACAGTGCTGCAGCGACAGAGGTCAATAAGGGCTGTGATTGGTTATCACAGCAATCACATGGGAATGTTTACATTGCCAAGCCACACCCTTCATCCTACATCAGAGGTAGGGGAGAGTAAAGTGAGTGATGAATGGATTAGTCATTACGTCTTAGTATAAACAAGCTGCTGCAGCAAATACAAAAAAAAGTTTCAAATCATTTTAATCCCTTCTCCTCTCCTACTTATGTTAGTGCTAACCTGTATATTAACCCTTTCACCTTTCCTATCCTGCACATCTATACATTAACCCCTTCATCTCCATCTGTTTGGGACCTGTACATTAACCCCTTCACCTCTACCTGTCTATGACTTGTACATTTATTGTATCTTGTGCACTATTACCAAGCTCCATGTTTTAACCCCCTCTATACCGTCATGTTTCTTCGTTTTTAAAAATATGCGGCGATAAATCCGACCATGTTTGAGTGTCTACTTTCCAAAAAGGAGATTTTTATATTGCCCTAACATTTTTATTTGCTAGGATTTAAAAACGAAACAGGCTTTTTTTTTTCAAAATTTTTGGTCTTTCGACTTTGTATAGTAAAATCTGTTTCAAAAAGCGGTTATTAAATACCACTAAAAGAAAGCTCTATTTGTCTCCAAATAATGTAGTGTTACAGTGTTGCGTGACGGAGGAATTCTCAGCCAAACCTGCACAGCGCTGAAAACTGAAAAATAGCCTGGTAATGAAGGGGGTGTAACAAAATGGTACCGAGGTGGTTAAGCTGTGCCTCCTCTCACCAGCAAGCCAGCTCCATTCAAGTATTAAATATCATAGAATCAGAGACTCAGTGGGCAGTAAAGGCTGAATGCTGAAGGTTTTACCTCAATCTCAAATCCCTGTTGAAGCCAACCTAACTTTCCAGGAGCTCCACAATGACAAAGTGATTGATCGCATGGGGTGCCCACACTAACTCTGACCCATTCATTGTACCAGCGAATCAACATGATGTGTTTAACTAGAAGAAACAAGGACACGGATGTAAAAAGAAAATGACAGTGTCTAATCATTTCCTATTGTATCCAAAACAAAAAAAAAGTTTTCAATTTGTATACCCTAACAGTGTATTATTGTATAGTGTGGAACAGCTGTAGCCAATTCTGCATGCCTGGCTTTATATTATAAAGTTCTTATAATATAAAGCCAGGCATGCAGAATTGGATATAGCTGTGCCACACTACAGAGTGTTCATGTTCTTCATAATATTAAGTAACTGACCTAAAATCATGATTTTGTATTGCTTTAGAAAAAATGTGACCTGTCCCTTTAAGAAAAAGTATCGGTAATTGGTATCGGTGAGTACTTGGAAAAAAGTATCGGCACTCGTACTCGGCCTTAAAAAAGTGGTATCGGTGCATCCCTACCTATAACCAAAATCATCTAATACAGGGTTCATTAATGATACTCAGATTGCAGAGCATACTTTTAGTAGCATAATTATACCTAATTGAGATATTTATTTATTGGGGGGATAGGGGTTTTTCCAAATCATTCAGGTCTATTTTTAGCACAAGAAAGAGCACTCAGAGAGCACAGTACTTGCATACATCTTACTATCAGCTGGCTACATATATTCATTAGCAATATTTCAAAATTACCAGGAATAAAAATAAAACAAAGTACTGAACATAATAAATAGATAAATAAAATACAAATAATAACTTTATACAATCCATTTAACCTCATGTACTCTCTACTGTACGTATGTCACTCTGTCTCACACTGCTTTTAGTATAGCCACCTTACCATGCACAGTGACTGCGTCCCTCTCTTATACTTTGTCTCTGCCACTGTGCCAGTCACTTATTGGAAAATATTTTGTCTCAGTGTCTGAAAGTATGTGTGCCTACAATGAGTGTGCAGTTCTGCAAGACAAAACTTTTCCAAATGGTTAAAATTTACAGTGTATATTGCACAGGAAATCTGATTTTTTTTTTTCTCATTTACAGTTAGTTCTTTAACCGTGTATTTAGGTACAAATTGAAGTTCACCATCCAAAAATGAATGGAAATAAAAAGCTTGTAAAGCCGTCTTGGAATTTTGAGCACAGTTATGCGTAGAGCGATCCAAGTAATTTTGGTTGGCAGTGCTTCTGTATATCTAATGTTTTGTGGTAACCATTGTTTGATAACTCTCACATACTTTTCTGGCAATCAGATAATGGTAAGATTATTAACATTTTGGTCAGAATGAAAAAAAATAAGTAGAAAATGTCAATGTGGTTACATTTTTTCTACCCGATGGTAAATTATACATTTAAGTATAAGCACAGATTTCCAACTACTAGTTCTTTGATCTTTAACATTTGTATGTGCTCTTACAGCATGTAAGAAGGTTGTGTATATATACTCTCTCTATAAATATATATTTTTTTTTTCAGCAAGGCATGGCCAGCCAACCAGGTACATCATTGTATAAAACTATCTTATCTGAAAAAAATATTGCTATTGAGCATGATCTCCAGGATCTATCCAAGCCGGTTACCCCCAGAACAAGGAAAACATTGATTACGTGTAAGACTATCCCTTTTTTTCCACAATATAAGCAGGCTCCTAATCAGGGGGAGGAGCCACCTACGGGGGCAAGATATTACCGGCCTCTTACAAAAGGAGTCTCTTCTTTGAGAACGATATTAAATGCTAGTGGTGCCAAGGACTGGGACATGTAGCTGCCAAATGCCCCATATAACAGGAGTCTATTGAATGTAACCTGGGGGGAGGGGTGCATATATCACTATTTGCCAAGTCTGCCCTGACAGTATTACTAAGAACTGAGGCTGGAAGGAAAATATGTCCTTTTATCACAGAAGGAGAAGCGGTTAAGACATTATTCTGCTCTG